TCCTTAAACCTCCTTATTTCTCGGAGATAGGAGTTTGAAAATGTGTCCCATTGGCCACTCCACATCCTCACAGTGAAACAAACAAACAACAACAACAAACAAAAAATCCACAAGATGTCGCAGGCCACAAGAAGGGAGCTAGATGGGAAGTCGAGCAACCAAGATACAAGCCGGCATCCATAAGGGATCCCAGACGATGCAAGGTGAGGATTTAGCCACTAGGCGATCATGCCAGGCCCCCGGAGAGCTACTCCTCAAGTGATTCCAGCTCAACGTCGCTTTCCAGGTTCATAATGGTAACCCTGATTGCATGTTACAGTAAAAGCAAGCAAAGTTTCATTTTCAGTGTATGCTTCTTTCTTCTACAATTTCATTTCTTTTTATTGGAAAGTGAGAATTACAGAGAGAAGGTGAGATAGAGAAAAAGATCTTCCATCCGCTGGTTCACGCCCCAAGTAGCCGCAACAGCCAGAGCTGAGCCGATCTGAAGCCAGGAGCCAGGAGCTTCTTCTGGGTCTCCCACACAGGTGCAGGGTCCCAACACTTTGAAGGGCCGTCCTCCAATGCTTTCCCAGGCCACAGGCAGGGAGCCAGATGGGAAGTGGAGCAGCTGGGATAGGAACCGGTGCCATTGCACAGAAGACGAGGACCTAAGCCCCTAGGCTACAGCACCAGGCCCTAGTGTGTGCTTCATTAAGAGGCAATCTAGGGCCCGGCGCGGTGGTGCAAGTGGTTAAGGTCCTCACCTTGCACGCCCGGGATCCCATATGGGCGCCGGTTCTAATCCCAGCAGCCCCGCTTCCCTTCCAGCTTCCTGCCTGTGGCCCGGGAAAGCAGTCGAGGACGGCCCAAACCCCTGGGACCCTCCACCCGCGTGGGAGACCCGGAAGAGGCTCCTGGCTTCGGATCGGCATAGCATTGGCCGTTGCGCTCACTTGGGGAGTGAATCATTGGACGGAAGATCTTTCTCTCTGTCTCTCCTCTCTGTATATCCACCTTTCCAATACAAGAATAATAAAAATAAATCTTTAAAAAAAAAAAAAGAGGCAATCTAGGGACAGGCATTTGACAGAGCATGTAAGAGACAGTTTGAAAATCCTGCATCTCACGCTGGAGGATGTGGGTTGAGGCGTGACTCTTCTTCCCTTCTGATCCAGCTGTGAATGAGCATCCTGAGATGCAGCTCCTCGGCTCCTGCCACTCAGGTAGAAGTAGAGCCTGACCAGCCTCAGGCTACTGCAGGCATTTGGGGGGAAGAACCAGCTGAGGGAAACTCTGTGTGTGTGTGTCCCTCAAAAGTTGATAAGCCACACAAAGCAAACGTACATCCCTGCTGTTTTGGTCTGCCGTCATGGGATCACTGCTTACAAAACTGACGTCCTGTGGATCTGAGGGCAGGGCTCGAATCTTGTTTTCACCTATTTGACGGTAATTTTACCCAAAAATTATGCTAAAATATGTACCAAAGCATTCTCCCCAAATTTCCCTCATGAGAAAGCTTCAAGGCAGAGCATGTTAGAGAAATGAGAGCCAGACCAGCCAAAGTGAAGCTGTCACGTCTCAGATTAGCCAACCTGGCGCTCTGATGCTTCTAAGGAGGAACTGCGTGCGACGAAGTCAGTCGGTACTCTCTTGTTCTGATTTCCTCTGCCTTATTATTAACCCTGGGATGTCTTGATTATACCGAAAAATACCTTGAATAAGAAGGATTAGGGTTCAGATTTGACATAATAATCCTCATTTTAAAGTCTGGCTCTTCTTACTGCATCATCTCTCTCGCTTGCTCGCTCTCTTTTTCTTTATTTTTCTTTTTCTTTTCTTTCTTTCTTTATTTTTTATTATTTTTTTTTTGGCTTAAGTGGAAAATGGAAAGACAGGGCTGCTGTGAAATGGGTAGAGGTGGGCGGTGGGCCACCAGGCATCTCTGGAGAGCGAGTTCATACAGTTGATTTAACGTACAGATGCTATAGTGAGACGTGATGAAAACAAGGAAGCAGGTTTAGACAATTCAAAAATGGAATTTTGGAGGAAGTAGGGATTTGAGAACGTTAGTAGTTGACCTTGATTTAACATAATGATATTGTTGTTGTTGGATTTGGAAAAGCAGCTGTAGCCATTAAGCTATCCCGAGAACTGCCAGCAGAGGGCTCCGTGCTGCCTTCGCCTTCGTCACTTCGGCTGCTTGGATTGGATGATACACTGCGTGTGAACCCGAGCCAAGGGAGGCAGTATTAACTCTCGTTGCTGTTATAAACCGAAATTAATCTGAGCGAAAAGTGAAAGATACAGGTGGAATCCTTGGTAACGTGGTAACAGAGTCTTTGAGCTATGCCAGCGTGTGAGTGCTCTAGAAAAGAAACATCGACATGGGGTATGACGAGAGGGGGACGAAAATGCATATTTTGCTGCCTTATTTCCTTTCGAAATACCGGGTTTGTTTTGGGGTTTTTTGCGTTTACACTCAGAGAACTCTGGTGCATACGTTTCACATCATTCGGCTCACGTCGTGCAGATTTTTATCGTGAGAATTTGTGTGCACATTCTTTGGGGTTCTTCTCAAGTTGGTAGGTACAATAAGAACTGTAAACTTGAAAACGCTCTTAGCAGTAACAACAGGTTTTCGGGAACCAAAGAGGAAATTAAACATCCTTCAGGGTTTCCTCCCACAAAATCCCGACAGAGGGCGCTGTCGCCCGCTCAATGACGAGGGAACGCGCCCACTGAAGGATTGCCTTGCAATTTCTAGGATTTTTCGAATAATGCCCATACAGAAAAATTAGCTAGGGTTTTCATGATCGTTATATGTTCCTGAGTAGCTCCATATATGTGTGTGTATGTGTGCATATATTTTATAAGTTTGTTTCATTCCTAACAAAACTATACTTGTTATAGTTCTACTTTCCTAAAGAATTCAAATACATTTTAATGAAACATTTTTGGACATGTTTACTTTTTGAAAACACCTAATACTAGAATAGAATAAAATGTGTATGAAGCATTAAATGATACACTTAAAAGGCTACAAAACAGTTACACTGAAACATCAACAATGCACATTTTTAAATAGTTTCCGATGTACAAACAACCTCTTGAGCTGTTTTCTGTTAAACCTTGGAGTCTGTTCATTCTAGGCTAACTAATTATATACCAAAAAAGATGCAAAAAGTGTTCAAAACACTTAATAGAAAGAAAATGTTTACAAACAGTTTACTTATGTGGGGGGTCATCTTTGAATAAATACATTCTTAATGAGCATAATGGAGTTGTATTGACCTGAAATAGATAAAACAATTATTTCTGTGGGCAAATTTGAGTCTGGAGAAACGGAAATGCAAAAATCTGTATTCGGCTTTCCAAATATTGATGTGGGACTGACTTTAGTCTAGAAGGGAGCGACTGTGGAACCCACTGAGTCCCCTTCACAATGAGGTTAGAACTGCCTGCCATCACCTAACTGGGGACACCTAGGAGAATCTACTCAGACTCCTGGTGGAAAACCTGCATGGATCCTGTACTATTTAAGGTGTTAACATTTAAAGATGGGAGGGAGATTGGGAGGGAAGGAGAGAAGAAAAAAAGAGGGTAAGAACAAGAAAGGGAAATGCTAAAGCATTTTAAAATTATAGGTGGAAATGAGTTTATTTCTGAAGTTCCTTCTGTGTAGATTTCATTGACATCCGAGAAAATAACATAAAATTCCATTTCAAATCCGCAGAATCGTGCAGCGTGGAAGCGCTGTCCACCACGCCTGGCCGGAGCCTCTGCCCCAGGATGGTGGGTCCGGGCTGCACACTGCAGCCGTGCACAGCCGGCTGAGATCTAAAGAGAACAACCCTTTGCAGATTCAGTCTTATCAGGTTAAACAACTTCCTTCCCCAAATTGCCCCATCCCTCCCCGCTCCCTCCTGACATTTTATTTTGAGTCTCCTCTTTGGAGCTGCGTTGCTGGCTGCGGGGGGAGTCCCTGCGCAGCCCGAGGTGTGTGAAAGGGGGAACAAGTCAGAACCCTTGTGCCGAAAAGCACACCCAATGTTGAGCCTTCACTAACTTTGTTTTGTTTCTACATTTGCGTGAAAATCTGTCTAAATCATTTTACTAAGGGGGAAAAATACACTTAGGAAGAAAAATTTTAAAAACCTCTCTGCACCTTAAAATCTTTTTCATTCTCTAAGAAGCACTCTGCTAAACTGTCCTCAACAACTCAGGCGACCATTTGTTCAATTTCCTGGATGAAACCCACTTAGAAATTATACCAGATGCAAATATAAAAGGTCCTAAGTGTCTACAGGAAGGGTTCAGCACTGTGTAAATGTGTGCAAATGTGGCTTCCAACATCTTGAAAAAACATTCATAAAATGGAGACTGCAGCCAAGAGGAACGGCACATGGAATCCGTTGAAAACACACACAAGCAACCCTAAAACAACAAACAGCATAAACTGAAGTGTTCACACAGTGTTTAACTTTCCAAAGGTTCTGAGCAAAATGACAGAAAATAGGAGACAGGGTCCATGGTCACTGTGGGGGCATTATGTTGTTGTAGCACAGTGACAGAGATAAAGTTTAAAAATAAATAAATAAAAGTTCTGTTGCCATTCGCAAAGAGAAATCACCCTTAAAATCTCTAAATCCAGCTTTCCAAACACCTTCCGTCTGAACACGGGACTCAAAACTCACGTTTAAAAATCTCAGAAATGATCTCCCCTTTAAAATCTGCGCAGAAAGCAAGGCACCGTTTTCTCCTTAGGAGACTTTCAGTGGGTGTCTACAATGATTCATCATTTTCAATATAGAGGTTTTTAAATGTTATCTGTTTATATTAATCACGCGGATTCGCTGTCCTTCTCTTAAAAGCACGTTTGTTGGTCTGCAGACTCTGTGTGACCCACTGGGTGCTTATGTAACTACATGTTGGGTGTCTGGGTCTAAATGCCCGTTTGTGATTTTTTATAACATATATGTGTGTGTGTGTGTGTGTATCTGTGGGTTGCAGCTAACTCCTGTGTGTGTGTGTGTGTGTGTGTGTGTCCGTGTGTGTGTGTGTGTGTGTGTGTGTGTGTGTGTGTGCAATAATGTTTTTTCTCTCTGCTGAGGCTTACTTCTCCAGCCTATTGTTTGAGACAACAGATATAAGTTGCGATGGGAGAGGAGCGTCGGATTTGGTGTGTATCCCCCATTTCCAATTATAGATGGATCATTACAGACGGCGCAGTCCCGAGAAGCCAGACATCTGCCCCTCACATGAATGCACTCACCTCCTAGAGACCAGGCTGCCATCATGCTCTGGAAGCTCGTGGAGAATGTCAAGTACGAAGATATCTACGAGGTGAGCCGACACCCCCAGACGCAGCCCAAGCTTTGCAGAGATGGAATTTGAGCTTCTTGACACCCCCAACAGATATTTATATTTTTGGGGAGGGGGGGAAAAGAACGCTATTTACTGATAGATTTCCCGTCGGTTTTCTCAGCTTTCTTTAACTTTTACAAAAGATGATGACCCAGGGAGACTTTGATATTCTGAAAAAGGGACTTGCAGTCGAGATCTGGCAACTTTTAATTCCGGGAGATCTCTCTCTCTTTCTCTGTCTTTTCTCTGTTCCTCGTCCCCCCCCCCCCACCACCACCAGGCTGCGATGGGGAATGCTGTGCTGCCGGCTGCAGGCAGGCTGTCAGGGCAAACCGAGCCCCATCCGGGCGCCGGCTCTCCTCCTTTCGGGTGTGGGACGGAACTGGGTTCTCCAGCCTCATTCGCACCGGATCCAGGCTTTTCATTTTTTTTTTTTTTATTTTCAACAAATTTTCTGAAACAGGTAGCAAAACGGACCCACACAGAAGACAGAAAATTAGAAAGAGGTAAACAGACGTGGTAGATTAAAGCCGGAGAGGGTTCGGTCTAGCGAAGCCACAGAGGTTATTTTCTGTTCTCTAGTGTTTTTTGCTTCTTTGCGGGTCATTGCGTCCCAACAGATCGCGGCTGCCTCGTGGTTTTGACCTTTTGAAGGAAATTATCTGCCCCTGCCCCGTGGCCCCAGTTTTTTCTCCTTTGGGGCAAGCGCGGGCTGCACTGGCTCGTGCAGCCCCGAGGGCGCCCGCCGCCTCGGCGCGGCCGGGACCCCGATCTCCGCTGCCCTGGGCGCTCTGGGGAGGACACTGCCCGTGGCCACGCGGCTCCGGAGCTCCCGGGCGTCCACGCCGGGGCGCCGGGCACAGGCTGCGGGGCGCGGGTGGGACGGGGCGGACGCCGCCGACGACCCCCGTGGAACTCCAGCGCGGAGCGCACGGCTCCGGAGAACTCTACTTTGGGGCGAGGGCTTGGAGAAAACGTCGAGGGAGGAGAGCAAGGTTCGAGAGAGGCAAAAAAAAACGGAAGGCGATGGGGGAGCTGGGCACGGAGGAGAAAGTCCAAGAGGGCGAACTGTGGCCCCGAGGGCGTGAAGGGGCAAGTTGGAGGCGCGAGCCGGCGGGCAGGGGCGGGGCGCGGCTGCAGGAAGCCGGTGCCGCGCGTTGCGCGCAGGACGCGCGAAGGGCCGGCAAAGAAAAGCCACCGCGCCGCTCCGGCACAACCTCCGGGAAGGCGGGCGGGACTCGCCCAGCGGAGGTTGAGAGTAAACAACTCCCAGGAGCGGTGGGCAAATCCCGACGGAGCCGGCGGGACCAGCCCTACCGAGCATCTGGGGGCTCCAAGGAGCATCCCGCTAGCTGCGCTCCGCTTCCAAGGGTCCTCCCTTAAGCCAGAGCAGCTCTAGCCACCCCACATCCTAATCTGGGGGGGCTTTGAAATGGGGGGAGAGAGAGAGAACGTGGGAGGTTCGCGGAGAGGGAAAAGGAGACGCGGAGAGGGCGAGCGAAGGATTTGGCTTCACGCTGCGAGAAGCCGGGGCTTTTCCTCCCCTTTGTGGCTGTGTGTGGACTATAAAGAGGAGTCGGGCCTCGGCGCCTGGTGCGGTTTGTTTCGGTTCTGCCTCCTTTTCTTTCCTTAACAGGCAGGATAATGATAAAGTGGAAAGCGCTAGAACTCTGGCAAAGAATGGCAGCTCTCAGTGTGCTTGACATTGGCTGGGACGGGGGCCACGCCGTAAATAGCTCTGGGTGTACGTGGAGGGATTAAAGTAATCGGGGGCTAAAAAACTCGCCCTTTGATTATGAAAAGTAAACTGGCTAAATGGGAAAAGGAGGGGTGGGATAGAAGAAAAAAGGGAGGGAGGGGGAGATGGGAGGGGTGGAGCGAAAGAGGAAGAGAGGAGAGAAAGGGAGGGAAAGAGAGTAGGAGGAGAGAGGGGGAGAGAGGATGTCACAGGTAGTCCTTTCTGCCTACATTTTCTGCTAAAAAAAAAAAAACAAAAAAAAAACAAAAACAAAAAACAAAAACCAGGAGACCCCGCAGCACGGTGGAAGCAGCCTGTTTAAGCCTGGACTAAGGTTGAACTTTAACAGAAATGGCTGTCAGGCCAGTTAAACGGGTTCCTGAAACACCCAAAAAGGTTTTCTGTTGCCCCTGGCTTTGCTGCAAAGGCTAAGTTTCCTGCACTTAAAGACTGCTTATATTTTTTAATTGAGGTAAAAATCGCAGAGGGTGCGCGCCCCAAAGAGAAGACTATAGCGGGGACGAATGGCCTCCATCTAGCCCATCCTCTAACAAACATTCCACATAGAGTGAAAGTCAGTGGACATCACTGTATACCATCGGGCCCACTAATTTACTTTTCTCTCCCCTCTAATGATGAGGCAAAACCTGCCGCTTTTTTTTTTTTTCTTTCTCTGCAATCAAAGCACCCAGGGCCATCCATTCTTCTCACTAGCAAAGTCTTTCTCTGCAGGTTCACGGACAGCTACATTGTACACAAGCCCTCGGCTAGACTCCGCTTCCTGCCTTGTCCAAGGGGGCAGCGGCGGCTTTACCCTTGTCCCAGCTCAGTTAATTGAAGTTCTGCCTCTTTCCTGCTAAACTTTTTCCCCAGTCTGCCTTTGCCAGCCCCCTCGTCTGATTACATCTAGTAACTCTCCACTGAATGAACGTCATTTACAATAGTAGGGGAGCTCTGCGCTCGCCGCTGCTTCACGCTCCATTTGTCCTCCATTCTCCCTTTAAAGTACTCGTGTAATATTAATAGTCATGAATATCAATTATTATGAGGCGGTGTAGGCAAGCAGAGGGAGGAAGGGGCGCTGGAGCAGTCTGAGCCCAGCTTCGGGTGGAAGAGGACTGCACCGGGGAGCCCCGAAGAACGGCAGAAGGAAAGAGGCCAGAAAGAAAGGAAGAGACAGATGAGCAGCTCTGGCTGTGTGTGGCAGGCATCTCCAATCTAGCTGGAGTGGGGGGGGGGGGGGCCTTTTTTTTTTTTTTTTTTTTTGATGGCTTGTCCTAGAAACACCTCAAGCTCGGCTCCTGTGTCCGGCTCGCTTCCTTGCTGGACTCCTTGGTTTTTTTTTTTTTAATCATTGTTTGATTTTGAGCAGTAACCAGGCTTTTTTTTCCAGATGTTAGTCCACACCTATTCATCCATGGTGAGTTCGGATTCACTTTGTACCAGAATTGCATGCTCTCTCCTTTCACTGTCTCTATGTCTCCACATCTCTGTGTGCGTGCGTCTCACCCTCCGTCTTCCTTTGAGCGCCTTTGGCTTGGTAATTTAGCACCATAATTGGACGAGGCTGCAGCTGCTTCTCTCTGCATTGTGTGTTCTCCGTCTGAGCTCCATGAGTCAGCTGGGAGGGGGGAGGCCGAACTGAAAAAAAAAAAAAAAAAAAAAACTTTTCTTATTTGCCATTGCAGTTTGGAAATTTGGGGAACTCTTCTTGCAAAAAGAGTTCTGGAGACTACCATGCCGTTTCTGCCCGAGATAAGCTTAAAGCCCCTCACACGCAATCTCCTCTTTCTCCTTTCACTTAGTACACTCCAGCCAGGACAGAGATAAGTTGTCTGAACTGTTTTATGTTTCCCTCCCAACTTCGGGTCTTTGGGCTTTAACACCCTGCAAAGTGTTAGAGTACTAGATAGAGACTAAAACCTTAGAAAGAACTCTTAACAAACCGCAACTCAGCAGGAGCTTAGGACGTGATCTTGAAGGAGATCCATTTCAATCAAACACCATTTAAGTTCTTTAATTCCTCTTGGGAAGGGAGGGATGGCTAGGGACCTGGTTCTGGCGGCTGTCGGGGCTCTCCAGGAGCTCCTAGGACCCAGGTGGTGTGGGGAGCCCCCTGGCCAGCCAGCTGCATTGTACCTGAAGGCAGAAGTTGCCTTCTAAAGAGGGGCAGCGACACAGCCAATGTTGTGAAGTTTTACTGGCTGTGGTTTGCACCTCTAGAAGAGTTAGGGAAGAATAGATGAAGACACCCAGAAGGGCAAAGCAGGAAGCAAGCCTACTGTGCTTTGGAGATTGTCACAATCTCTCTTTACACGCAGTTTCTTGTGTTTGGCCCAGGGTCGTGTTTTGCAGCCCCCTCAACCCCGAAGAAGATTCAGATATTGGTTAAGCTGGTGATTGTCCCACACACCCGCACCCCCCCACTCCCTGTTTAATCTCACCCAAAGAATCGAGTTTGGAATTGATGAAACCATGTGGTGCCCTGCGTGGAAGTAGTTAGGGGCCCAATTTCAAGCTTTTTTCTTTCCTTGTCCTGGGAAGAACATAAGGAAGCTAAGCCTCTCCATTTGTCGTTTGTATTTTTTCCCCTGCTCTCTCTCTCTCTCTGTGTCTCTTCCTGTCCCTCTTTCTCTCTCCGCTCCCAGGACCGGCACGATGGCGTCCCGAGCCACAGCTCCCGGCTCTCCCAGCTGGGCTCGGTGTCCCAAGGACCCTACTCGAGCGCCCCGCCGCTGTCCCACACCCCGTCGTCGGATTTCCAGCCGCCCTACTTCCCGCCCCCCTACCAGCCGCTCCCTTATCACCAGAGCCAGGACCCTTACTCCCACGTCAACGACCCCTACTCCCTGAACCCACTGCACCAGCCCCAGCAACATCCCTGGGGGCAACGGCAGCGACAAGAAGTGGGTTCGGAAGCCGGCTCTCTGCTGCCCCAGCCTCGGGCCGCCTTGCCCCAACTCTCGGGCCTCGACCCCCGGAGGGACTACCACTCGGTCCGCCGGCCGGACGTGCTGCTTCACTCGGCGCACCACGGCCTGGATGCGGGCATGGGTGACAGCCTTTCGTTGCACGGCCTCGGCCACCCCGGCATGGAAGACGTCCAGGTAACGACAGACAAACAAGACGAAGGGAGGAGGGCAACTCTTATCTTCTTTTGGGGAGAGGTTGTTCGTATCATTAGAACAGAAATGAAAGTGCGGGACACACATGTCTGGGTGTATATGTTAATACATGGCTCTGAAGCAGCGTTTTCTGGAGGCCCGATTAGGAAATCAAGCACTGCTATAAATTAAATTGTGAGGGGAAAAGTGTGTGTGTGTGTGTGTGTGTGTGTGTGTGTGTGTGTGTGTGTGTGTGTTGATTGTTGATAGTTTGGGACCATTAGAAATCAAGGTTTCTGTCCTGCCTGGATTCTCTGATTCCTGCAAATTCTCTAGTGCTTTGTGTGAGCATGCTTGGTACCCCACTGGCACCAGCAGAGCGCAGACCCCAGGAGGAGCCTGGCTCTGACAACGTTAGGGATCCCAGCAGAGCCCAGGGTTTTCCTGCTGGATTTGCAGGGATAGTGCTAAATCACAGCTGTGCGCATCTCAGAAGGTCCTGCTTCCCGTCGGTCTTGCTGTGAATGTCCCATAAGCAGCAGAACCCTTTCCTGAGATAGAGTTCTGAATCGTCATCTGAAACATGCAATATTTGCAGCAGAAAGATCCAGAAAGCCACAACTTGGCTTGGTCGTCCAGGAAGACAGATATCATTTGGGATTTTTTTTTTTTTACTTTTGTTGTTGTTGTTGTTCATTAAATGACCCTAGAATGATAGTCTCCACCTCCCTTTCCAGGTCTCCTCCATTAATAATCTCCCCAGTGCCACCATCCCAGTAGAAGAGGCATCACATGTTTGTTTCTTAAAACAAAAGACTCAAAGCACTCTCCCCTAACCCCTCACTATCCTGTTTGCAGCCCACACAATGGAGCCTGATTTGGCTGAGAATACTAGGTTAAACTAAACAAAGAAACATCAAACAAATTATTTCTAAAATGGTCTGGATGATTCTGGGCAAATTGTTCCACTCCCCCCCCCCCAACTCCCATCATTTAAATGGTCTCCAGGAAAGGTAAATACGGTTGAAAGTTATTTAATTGAGACTTCAGTCTCATTAGCATAGTTGTGTATATTACTGCATCATTTAAGACCTACTTGCGAAGTACATGAAAATGCAATTTGAAAGAGAAAAGGGTTTCCCTACTTCGCTGAAGAGAATATTCTTACACTGTGAAAATGTGGTGGCAGCATCAGATGTTATCTGTGTATGATCTATGGTGTTTCGCTGTTTTAAAAGAAGTTACTTATTATTTTCAGAAAAGGAGATTAAATTACTTGATTTGAGCCTGGACTTACCTGCAACAATAAGAATGATATGTTTCTTCATTTAGCCAAGCTTGATTGTCCTTGTCTGGAGATATTGCTCACTTTGGAATACCACACAAGAAAGAAAATGTTTAATAGTCTTCTTTAATGTATTGGGGTAATATGTGTCTTGAGGGGAAAGTTTTTGAATTAACCTTTCTGAGTATGGTTCATGGAAGGTGCTAAATCATGAAAGTGGATCAACTCATCACGGTTACTGTTAGTGATCCTAACACTGGCAGTGCCACCCCACTTGGCAAGCCAAATGGTAGAGCAAAGGAACCCATGAATTCCCAAAAAGAGGCAACAGATTTCTTGTTTTTAGGTGTGGTGTGGTTTTTTTAATTATTATTATTGTTGCTGCTGCTGTTATAATTTGAAGATAGAAATGTGAGAGATTTTGAGTGTTGGGTGAAAGACCAAAGGCAAAGGAAACCCAAGGCCGTGGATCAGTGTGTATTTGAATACACTGTTCCAAACATCAGAAAGGATTTTAGAGTGTTTGTCTATACAGAACACCCTGGACTGAATAGTCACGGTGGGGATTCTAAACGAGAGAAGTAGACAGAACCAGAGTGGAGAAAGTGTAGGCCTGACCCTCTGACACTCCTGTCCCACCCCTTCCTTGTTCCTCCCACAGCTTCATCCCAGCAGGTTGATTGGTGGGATAGGAGGCCCCGGTGCACCTTCTGGAGATGGCTCCCCAGGGCAAAGCAGGGGAAATAACCAGGGTAGGGATGGTATCTGTCTTGCATGCCTGAGGACGGGATGGAGTTGATGTGATAAGGCTAGGCCTGAGTGTGGGGGCAGTGAGGGAATGCCCCCTGGATCAAACTCCCACAATGAGATTCTACTGCTCAGCAACGATCCAGCTCCAAGAAGGGATCAGGCGCTCAGGGGCTAAAGTTCCATGAGTCGGGGTTTCCACATTTCCCGCAAGCAGCTGCCCATCCAGGTCGGCTGCACTAACTCTTTGGGTCAGGAATGTACCTCATTCACTTGTTCTTTGTTGAGGGACCTGATGTGTGCCCCACATCCCGTCCAGCCACCTACCTGACAGACCCCGAGGGCTCTGCCTTGCCTGTGGGTCAAAGGTTGGGGAGAGTGGTGTGACCCGGAGGCTTCACACACAGAGCCACCGCCCTGACCAGGAGGCAAGAGAAGTAGGGAGCTAATTAACCAAATGCCTCTAATATTTTTTTAAATGAAACTATAAAACCCTGTCAATTTCTATTTCAATTTACTCACAGGGGCTATTAAACTAGCAAATCACTGTTTGGGTTCTGGGTATGCTACATTTCACCCATTCTGTGTGGGGCGGGGTGAGGGAGGGAAAAGGAAAATGTTAAAAACTCAGAAATATGGCTAGAGAAAGAGGAAGTGAGATGACACCTCGTTTGGAGTTTGTTTCTGTGGCTTTTACACCTCTTTGCTCCCCATCTTTGCTCCCTAACCTCGCATCACCCTCTAGCACACACAATACAAACATACAAGAATGTTAACTCAGTACCCTCCCAAAACACACGCGCGTGCGTGCACACACACACGCATCGAAACACACACTAGTGTCTTAAAGCAACCCCTGGTATCACTTTTAACTAAAGAAGTCTAGTAATTACGAGTCTGAGTTGTTTTCCTGCGCTTCCGCATGCAGTCCTAATTAAATCTTTACGATCCTCCCTGTGACGATTAAGCGCCAGCATGCTGCGTGAATATCCTGTACAAAAACCCAGCAGGCGGCTGTAATTAGATAGAAAATCAGACAAGAGCCTTCTCATTAACTACCACAACTACCCCACGTTGCTGATGAGGCGTATATACATATTTACGTACCAACGTGAGGGTAAGGTGTGGGGGCTCAAGAGTCCAGGCGCATGTGAGGGGTCGGCTTGTCCACAGACACCAGCGAATGGTTCTGTCTTGTGTGAACACATTGCCACTATTCACATAGGGGCATAGGAGGAGGTGGAGTGTGTGTGTGTGTGTGTGTGTGTGTGTGTGTGTGTGGTAGGTCCTCCGCGGAGTTGTGAACAAGTTAAATGAACTATTTTTACAACAGCTTTCTGCTCTTTCTTTGGATACACATGACATGTTACAGCATGGAAAACAGTTCTTGAGGGGAATACCAAGTTTCTTTACCTTTCTGAGAACTGACCAGCCAATGTTATAAATGAAAAGGAACAAATTAATACGCCAAAAAGCCGTCACCGTGACTGGATCATTTTGTTTATAAACTGCTGCTTGTTTGAGGGGAGACAGATTCTTTTTCTTCTGAACGCACACCCGTCTGGGGATGCAGCAGGACTGGGTAGGGAGTGCTCTAAAAACCCCATCTCACCTGAACCAGTTTGCTTTCTGCTTCTCTGGAGGGCTTGGCAAATTGAGCAAAGGGGTTGATAAAGACTGAGAGCAATTGTACATTCCGTAAAGATCTAACCCGTATGTTGATGTCTAATGGGAGTGCAACGGTTTTCTTCAGCTTTCTGAGAACTGGTGAGTCACAAAGGTGGAAAGAAATGTTCATGCCGTCTACCTGACTCACTCACCTTCTTTCTAATCTGCTGCTTGTTTGGGGAAGACGGACTCCATGCTGGTTGTGTGTCCCGACAGTAAGATTCTCGCTTCAATATCTGCTTCTCTTTAGAAGTCCTGCCAATGCTTAGAGTTGAAATTTTCCTTTACTGGGATGCAGCTGTGGCACATAAAGTGAATGCTCCCTGTGTAGTCACCTGAGTGCTGACTGGGAAGGTCCCTGGCCTTTGAGTGTGTCTGTCTGTCCTTACTGCCTGTTTAACAGGTGTGCTCCTAGTTGGGAAGCAGCAGCAGCAGAATGGGGAGGGGAGCAAAACTGTCCTGGCTTCTCTGAGGGTATGTCATTTTGCAGCAAGAAGCTAGTAACTAACAGGAATATGAATGCTCTGCAGTAGGTGTGCAGTCCTTCAGGCTAGCAAACATGTTCTTATGTGTTACTGTTTGCATTCCATTCCAAATTGCTCAGACTTTAATTAAAATCCCATAATGTAAACTTTTATCTGTTTATAAAATGGCTCTGGGGTTAAGATGTGCTGGGATAGAATGGAAAGCAGAAATTGTTCTTCCTAATATTGGTGAAACCTTTTAGCTGCTGATAAATTTTTACAAGTCATAAGAGGAAATAATATAATGGTTTATATGTCTGTGCAACATCTCTGTTTTATACAATAACTGAACGGACATCCAAGATGTCACTCACAAACTTCCTTTCTCCTTTTCTTCTATTGGAAGAATTTATAATTTGTGTGAATTTCATTTCTATGTCCACTTTGAGCTAATAATGAAAAGAATAAAACCTCCCTTTGTGAATTAATATAAATGGAAATAACAGAAACTCCAGTTTGGAATAACATGATTTATGTGTGTGATTCTTTAATATCCAGTCAATTTGAATAGCGATGTTTTTATATTCACAGTCAGTTGAAGATGCCAGTAACAGCGGCATGAATCTATTGGACCAATCTGTCATTAAAAAAGGTATGGATTATTTCTTTCAAGCATAAGCAGTTTGCCTTTAATGTTTTTGTGATGAACTTTGAGCAAAATTCATATTTTATTGCAGACAAATGTTTGTTTACAATCACAGGGCGGGACTGTCAACCTCAGGAAAAAGGCTTGTCTAGAAGAAGGAAATGGGGTGAGGTTGAGAAAAAAACTGCAGAAACCTGGATAAGAGAGACATAGAAACTGAGACAATTGCCATTTTTTTCCATGGTGCATTTGCTAGCTGTCCTAGATGCATTTGAGATAATTGCAACATCATCAAATATGAAATGGGCCTGGAAACATGGGTTTCAAAAATGTGTCATCATGATTTCATTGATAACTGGGGGTTGTGGAACTAAACCCAGGGTTACTTAGGCAGCTCCTTTTAACCTTGTGTTTGACTTCATGGTGGTGGTTTTGTGCCCAGTTCTCTGTGCTTTATGAATGATTTCCTTTTATTATTATTTTTTTTAGCTGTGCCCAGTGTTTTGCTATATGTGTACATCCTGAGATGTTTAAGAGAGCCTAGGCACATTTCTAAATCTTCCTACATATGCATTCATGATTTAGTGTGACTGTGGAATCACCCCATACTGTTAAAGGGCATGTGATATTAACAAATGTTTGCAGTCTCTGGTACAGCTGTAAGCAAAATAATTAACTAATTAAACTAATTAAATGTAATTACAATAACTCATTTCGAGAGTATTGCAGCTGCTTAATTTTTTTTTCTCCTCTTCTCTGACAGTCACTGAGAGAATGCCTGTCGATTAGTGTGTGCCTGCTGAAAGGTCTGAGTGTCATTCACACGCCACAAATTTAGGAGCTTGAATGTGTAAACAGTGCAATCTTTAATTATCACAGGAACTAGTATTTGAAGATACAACTCTGCTACTGTAACCCGTTCCTATCAGTGCTAAAGACAATCTGTCCTTAACTTTGATGTCAGCAATCTCCAGCTTTAGCATTCCTCATCAGCTGAGCCACTCGCCATTCACGAAAATAAGAAAAGATGAGTTGGAAAGATGTGTTGGCTGAATCAAAGTGGGAGAGTAGAAGGTCGTGGAATAAGGGCCCCAAACATTTTGAAGAATTCTAAATTGTCTTCTTTTACAAAGGCAGAAAAAAAAAACAAATTTCAAAGACGGGCAGGGGAATCAGTGTTGGGAAAGATTTTATTTGGTTTTGAAATGACTATCCTGTAGAATATCAGGCTTAGGGTAAACCTAATATTGTAAATATTGTTACAAATCTCCCTTTCCTCTCTTTTGTATGTGTTATTTTCATTTTTAATACCAGCTTTTAGTTTGCAAGAATACCCAGGCTTGGGATTTGGACTTACAACTAATTCTAACAGCTCACCATCACCATGTCAACATTACATCTTTTGGTTAATTACTAGTTGGTTTGGGAGAGTGGGGGAGGGGCTTCTCCATGTGATTTCTTTTTAAATTTTGTTTTGTTTTAACTCCCCTGCCCCTTTCATGCAAAGCTAGAACTACTTAGCTCGGTATTTCTAGCAACATCATTTGATCTGGCAGGGGGACATGCCCAACAGAGGACCAATCAACGATGTTATTAATAGGCAGGCCAATAAAAATATTTGAAACTTAGCTTGCCTGGAGATGTAAATAATCCTTAAATGTGGGATGTTTTGGTTTCAGAGATACTATGCTTCTCAGAGAAATGTGAATCTTTACATGTAAGGTTATCTCCAGGAATAAGGAAAGAGCATTTATCAGGGTTGCAGTTTGTTTTTGGAAACACTGGGACATATTCTGTGTTTCTAAAAACTTTTAAGTGTACAGCTTAAAATATATTAGCACTCTAGCTATTTTAGTTGATTTAGAAAGTACAGTGTGAATATTAGGTCAATTCCATTACTTGGGTTTTATATTTGCTTTATTACATGAAAAAAAAAAAAAGATCCTGAGTGTCATATTTTGCCTTTAGAGAAACATAGGCAAAATAGGAGTAAGTACTTGATTTATTTTTGCAACTCACAATGAAAGCCTTAGAATAAAATTATGGGTTTATTAACCCCTTCTCTTCCCTCTGGTCTCCTGCCTTCGCCTACACTTCCCATGAGGGTTATCTTGAGATTAATTTCATAGAAGAGGTGAAAACTTTTTGAAAGTTTCAACAACTGGCAGGGGATGCAGTTATGTAATTAATTTCTAATAGGCTTTTAGAAAGTTTTTTTTTATTATTATTATTCTAGCTCATTAATGGAAGGCTGACAACTGCTTAGGGTTTGAGTGTCTCTGGCTTTATGTTCATGAACCCAAAACATCAAAGGTGTATTTATGAACCATGAGCATTAAAGGTATATTTCTCTCAATCTTTACATTATTCTAATTATGGCAAGGCCTTCTCCTAAATTTTAACCAGCCTAATTTTTCACCTGGGTTGATATCAGCGCACAACTTATAGGCTCTCTCTCTCTCTTGTTATGTTTGCTATCTGGGCTTAGCTGACATTTCTGAAGTAATTTAGTTAAGAGGAAATGAGTTGTTCCCAGTAGAGAGAGCAAACGAGTGGAGTGAAGGTAGCCAGCGTGATAAATGGCTCTTTCATTTGAAGATCTCCAGAGCTCGTTTACGGCTAATTTTCTGTATTGGCCCCCTTTGAGCTATTAATGCAATCGGCAGGGACCGTGGCCCCTCTCTTCTTAGCTGCCCCATTAGAGCTCCCATTAAGCTGCCTAGTCTCAACTCCAAGGCAGGAGTGGGAGGGAGTAATGAAAGGTGCTTTTTAAAACTCTCCTAATCTAAACCGGCGGAGGGTGGTTAATACGATTTGAAGGGGGCTGGTCAATGAGCAATCAATAAAGTAATAATGAGAAGGATTCGGTACATTAACAGTCTAAAAATCCAACGAGACATTAAAAAATCATTCTGAACTCTCAGTTCCATTAAGATTAGAAATCTGGGGGTGGGGAGGACTAATATATAATGATCATTGCCGTCATCATATAGTCTAACTTAAAAAAAAAAAGACTTACCAAGCCTTTGAGAATAAGTTTTTGGTGTAGTCAGAGGCCAATATGCAATCTGTTCGACACCACAGACAGAAGAAAATATTCTGGGATTTCTTGGAAAGGCTATCGTGGCTAGAGTCCAAGATTCGAATGTTGTGACTGTGGGGCATTTTCATTGGTGTTAGGGATATCCTGTTTGGTTAGTTTCAGTTCAGCCTCCGTTCTCTCCCACCTTTAGTTCTGGCCCCTTCCCCAAATAAACACTTTGTTATGCGTTTTCTTTGGGTGGAAAGAATAGAGAATTTGCCAAATTTTAATTACAATGAAGGCTGTTGGCCTCACCCTTCCCGGCCTGGCAAGTAAAATGCCCCCCACGGGTCTGCCGAGAGTCTCTTAAAGCAAGAGGTTCACATTCCCCAGAGCTGATAGGGGATCCCAGTTGTTGCTTAGGAAGCAAAGACCCCGAGATGCATTCCACTACCCAGTGACCAGAGTTCAGAGATTTTTCAAAACTGAGAATGTTCAACACTCAGCCAATCTCTTAATATACTCCCCCCGCCCCCCACCCCAACACGAATCTTGGCCTCAAGTGCCGAGATAGAAGATAAACGACCCTCTCGGAGTCCCAGATGCCATGTAAGTGATGAGACCCAATTCACCTAAGAGCCTTTTAGACTGTTGCCCTAAAGGATGCCAACACTGGGTGTTTGTAGATTTTGATATTCCAGCTTTCTTTGTGAAAGCTGTCTTATTTTTCTATGATTGTGCTCATATTTATACGTGTGCTATCTGTGGGATAAGATGTAGCCCTCAGTTAGATAGGAAGGCTACCAATGTGAGGAAGGAGTGCTCTCGGTGAGATGTAATTAAATGACATTTAGGGCCCATTGTCAATCTATGTTAAACCTCTTGGGTGCTTCATGTAGTTTACATATTTAAAACAAAACAACCTTTCAGAGGGACTCATCCCGGGAAGCTGTAAGATATATTCAGATCTTTCCTTCTCTCCATCAGCAAAGGTCTCAGGGTATGATTTCACATTTTGGTTTAAACAGGCGAGATTAAGGGCCAGCCTATTAACCCTTTAACTTTCCAGCCCACTAATGAAGAATTCTTTAATACCTCTCCTTCATCTCTTTTAAATAAAAGCTGAGTAACTATAACAAAATATTGATCTGTTTTTTAATATCTTCTCTCCCCCAAAAAAACATGCAAGGGGAGAGTAGGACAAGTGAGACTTAAATGTGTTTTATTCAAGAAGTTGGACATGCCATACAACCCAATGAAGAGAGAAAGAGAGAAGCTTAACTTTTAATGTATGCACAGAAAATTGTAAACATGGAAAGAACTGAAAGCTTCATGCTGAGTTTTGCTATGCTCCATTTCCTTACCATTTCCTGCTGTCGCTTTAAACCTATCTCAGTCATCGCGGGGTTCTGTGAGCAGGAACAGTGCACTCATAATTACTAACAAATCAACCGGGCCCTGTTGCTCTGTGCGTTTATTGATAAGCTGGAAGTAAGCAGAAGGGAAAAGACAAAGAGAATAAAATATGGAGTTAATCAGCTGAGCTAAGCAGGTGTGAAAGTAGAGGTGGGTGGGGGGAGGTATATGGCAGTGAAGTTAAAGACCTAACAGAAAGTTGGAACAAGAAATGTGTAAGGTCTGTTATACAGAACTAAAAGTGTGCCAGGGTGAGGAAGAGTTTTAGAACCTGAGGGTAAGAATATGTAGAAGGGGAAACCAGAACATAACCATAATATGAAGTATGTCTACTAAGATAAAGTTTCTGGAGGAAAAAATAGGTATATATATCTCCTGGGAGCTGTAGTGTGTTGAGTAAAGCTGACTTAGTTGAGGGTATTTAGGTGCTTATGCTATACAGAGAGGGGCAGACCCTGGAGGGGAGTGGTACACAGTCCCCAAAGGAATGGCTCTTGTCAGGTGAATCAGGCAACTAACAATAGTGAAATTAGAAGGCACGGTGGAAAGTGTCTCCAAAGGCCTGGATTTTCAGGGGAGTTGGCATCTGTGACCATTGTGACCATGAGAGCCAGTCAGAATTATAATCTCCCAGAGATACTTAGTATAGGATACAGGAACTGAACTTCGTATTCTCAGCCTTCCAGGTGTATTGTTTCTATTTTTTTTAGATTCTAAATAACACAAAAGTGTAAATTTTGCACAGTATCGTATATTTTCACGCAATTTATTTCCATGCTTCACATCCTGTTAAAACTACTAAGGGGAAAAATTATATTTGGGGAAAATTTTCCAAGTTTATGGGATGTCCATTTCTGTGATGATACATTATTTGCCTCTAGGTAAATAATGGTATGTAAATTTGAACATGAAATGTGCAAATCAGGACCAATGTAAAGGATAATAGATTCAAATAGATGTTATTATTGTGTGTGAGAACCAAATGACAGGGGGTTCCCAATATAGTTATCTGATTTTCACTAGATTTTACTCAAATTTGATTAATATGCACACTTCAACTTTTCATTGGTACATTCTCAAATAAGAAGCAGCTTTCATAATGAAAATAAAAGTTGCATGAGAATCCCACTTCACAACATTGCAGAATAACCATGATGTTACTTATCATCATTTATTTATCTGGGACAAAGTCTTGGCCTCTGTGGACAAGGATCCTCCAAGAAATGGCAAAATTATATACTTTAGTGTCCATCTCTTTCGTGTCTATAGAAAGCTTCTCTTCCACAAGGTGTTTTGTAAAGAACCAAGTACAAGTTCATAGTAAGTAGACCATCTGGGATCTCCCTGGCTTTGAAGAGTTTCTAAGCAGTCTGCTGAGAAGAATGAATTGCTACAAAAATACTCAAAGTTGATTATCCTATCCCGTACATGGGAGGAAATCTGATTTGGCTTATAGGGTCCTCAGCTTTAGATACTAGAAAGAACACTTTCTTCTACCAGGATGATAGGATTGAGACCGAGTTTTTACCAAAGAGGTAGAGGTGGAAAGCAGCAAGATCAGCTGCCCAGTGACTTCTAGGACCTAGGGAAAGAAAATGGAGCCATGCATCAGTCTAAGTGGCAAGACCACCACTGGGCCAGGATGTGGACTTCACGGTTCCTCTTTCCTGGCCTTCAGAGGCCAGCCTTTTCCTAACGTGCAGATGATACTGAAACACAATTAAACAGAAATACAGGCTGGAGAGGCTGAATGCGCCATGGAAGCAGTGGCAACCAGCTGTCAGTTCTTATTAACTTCTGCATAAAACATACCTTGAGTGCAGTTTGTTATCAATTACTTGCTGAAATGAAACAACTGGGGCAAGGCAAGACCACTGCTCATATGAATTAGTGTGATTGGTTGATTGATCAGGGCACCTGTTGTAAATCATAATTGCTCCAAAGAACCACCAGCCAGGGCATTAATTTATAAACAAAATTCATCTCACTGCACAATTGCTTTCATTGGAGATGAGCATGTGGGCTTATTTCTAAAAGAATCTGTCGTTATGATGGAGGGAAATATGGAGCTCATTTTAAAGAGATGGACAGCTCTTTGGGGTCCAGTCCCTCAGAATTGTGTTGGGGGCTCAACCTCCTGAGGCTCTCTGGACAGACTTGGGTCTAATGAGGAAAGAGGAAGGGGTTCCACAGAGACCACTGGTAATGTTACTGTTTTGTATCACTGGATGGGGATCGGCACCTTCCTCCTTCTCCCCATTGCTGTCTTCAGAGGCTATCAAGGAGACAGAATCAGACTCAGTGAGTGCCTAAGCGAGCACGTGACAAAATAGGATTTGCCTGGTTACACCGCAGTCCAAGCTCTGGGTGCGGGTTTTCTTGGGTTTTCTTGGTGTAGTGAGTGGTGCTGTGACTGATGACGTGTGTGTACACACATGGGGGTAAATTTCCAGTGCTTGGGCAGCCTGTGTTCCCAGAGCTCTGAACGCACTGCAGCCTCACTGGAACACATCTTTCCTGTGGTCTCACAGTGACATTTAGTATCAGCCAGTCACCACGATGGAAGCCCGGCCACCTTGATGGAATTTTCCCCCTCTCTCTCTTTCTCTCTAGTTCCGGTTCCTCCCAAATCTGTGACTTCTCTAATGATGAATAAAGATGGCTTCTTGGGAGGCATGTCGGTCAACACCGGAGAGGTGTTTTGCTCGGTCCCGGGCCGCCTGTCTCTGCTCAGTTCAACTTCAAAGTACAAAGTAACTGTGGGAGAAGTTCAAAGACGACTCTCGCCCCCCGAATGCCTCAATGCGTCTCTCCTCGGTGGCGTCCTCAGAAGGTAAAACCCCATCAAACTAGTTGGTACTGGGTGGCGAGAAGAAAGCCAAAGCTGAAACCTTAGAGAAGACCCACACGGTTGCCTAGCAACTGGGCGGCAGGCGCCAGAAGAGGGAAGTTAGGAAGGGATGTGGGGTGTTCCCAGTCCGGAGCCGCAGCCGCCACGTCCGGGGCCGCGCGCACACACTCCTGCAGGGCTCAGACCGACGCCCCGCAGGCGCGCAGCGCACGAGCAGCCGCGCTCTCCCAGCCACTGCCACCTGCAAGCCGGCTGCCACTCCCCGGCTGCACCGTGCTGTTCCAGTCCACCGCGAGCACCTTCTCAAGCCTAAGGGTATGACCCCGAACCTACACACGTGTACCTCCACTGCTAAATATCTAATACAACCTACATCTTTCTGTTTGGTTTTGTGTTGTAAAATGAAGTTGGCAATCTGCTAAATTTATTTCATCACTCTCAAAAACGTTGTGTCCCACGGTTGGAAAAACTCCTGGCTTCAATAATAACACCACAGTTAAGAATAATAATACTGGGGCCCGGCGCGGTAGCCCGATGGCTGAGGTCCTCGCTTTGCAAGGGCAGGTGAGTGTCCTGGCTGCTCCACCTCCCATCCAGCTCCCTGCTTGTGGCCTGGCAAAGCAATGGAGAACGGCCCAAGGCCTTGGGACCCTGCGTTTTGTGGGAGACCCAGGAGAAGATCCGGACTCATGGCTTCAGATTGGCTGAGCCCCAGCCATTGGGGCTGCTTGGGGGGTGAACCAGCTAGCAGAGGATCTCTGTCCCTCCTTCTCTGTAAAAATCTGCATTTCCAATAAAAATGAACAAATCTTTTAAAGAAATCCTAAAAAAAAATAATAAAAATAAAGAATACTAGGTTAGAAGGAGTAATAGTTCTCCCATGGCCCCTTCCAGGTGCTTCCCTCTGTGTTTCACCCACAGACCGACTCCTCCTGTGAATCACCTTTGCTCTGAAGGTTAAATTCTTCTCCAAACTTGCTGCCAACCTTTGAACCCACTGGCAGCGTCGCTCATCTGAAGGTGACTTTTCATGAGATGGAACTTTCCAAGTTCCCATTTGGGAGGTGACAGTCCTCCCCTCCTTCTTTCCTGAATGTGACTGCGTGAATAATACTGCAAAAAAAAAAAAATCAGTGATTATTTTTATTTTTTTTTCTCATATTTTGCCCGACCTTAGCATATACAAAGAGAACCTTGGGAGAAATGAAGGGTGTGACCCAGGACTTTCATTTTGTATTCGCTTGCTCTACCCTACTTCGGTTCAGTTTTCAAGTCAGTCCTGGGAATGTTGAGTGAGCGTGGACGTTTTCAGCCACCCCCTGGAGCATTGAGTATGTGTGGTTAAAGCTTGTTATGAGATTGAGATAGTCAATATAAAGTGCTTATCACGTAACTAAACTCCCTAGTGTGTTAATTTTTACTGTTATTATACTTATCATGCTTAGTTTCATATTTCAGTCTCCCCTCCCTTTCTAACATAGCTTCATTTTATAGCGCCTCTTGACCCCTTCTTTGCCAAGCTCACCTGTTTCCTTGAGTGCCTTTTCCTCTTGCAGCCTCTAGGCTCTCTCCCTCCTTTCAATGAGGTTGAGTTTGCCCAGTTTCCGCTCACCTCTTTGCCTCCAGCATGAGGAGGAAATATGTGTGAAGTGTGTGTGTGTGTGTGTGTGTGTGTGTGTGTGTGTGTGCAGTTCCTACCTTCTCTAGATCCACAATCTACAGCCTAATTATTCCCATCTGCTATAATTTTTTCTCACAAGATTCTTTTTAAAAGGGACTTTTTTTTTTTTTTTGCATTCTGTATTGCAGAAATTAAGCAAACCTCAGCAAACTATCAGCAAATAACCAAAAGGAAGGGGAAAAAAATGTGCTAACCTCAAGTTAAAACCTCTTCAAGCTCCACTGGGCTTTAGATTGCTAAGTCTAAACTTTGTTTCAGGAACACTCTGAGGTTAATCAGAATGTTAATTCTTGCAATTTCAGAGCCAAATCGAAAAATGGGGGGAGATCTTTGCGAGAAAGGCTAGAAAAAATCGGTTTGAATTTACCCGCGGGCAGGCGCAAAGCAGCAAATGTCACGTTACTCACCTCCCTGGTGGAAGGTAAGCAAGACGTGTGGCCATTTCACAAAGTGGCTGAGTTTAACTGTCGGCTGGAGGCTGACATTTTACATGTTTCATGATTAACTGGAAATCATTGCGATTGTTGTGCCCTTCTGAGCTGGATGTCAAGCGGCTGCTTGAGCGAGAAGTTCAAGGGTCCTTTCACTTAGAGCCACCAGTTACAGAGAGGTCGGGGGCGTTCCTACATGTTGGGGATCCCCACACTTTGGGTAATTAGGTCTGGCCCTGGGTCAGGCCGGGGTTACCCCTGCTGCTATACAACATTGGAAACACCCTTGGTGTGAACTCCTGGAAGAGAGAGCATCAGACTATTCTATACCCTCTTCTCCTTCCCAGAATAGGAAAACACATTGCATTTCATGACTTATAATGACCATTTAAAAACATACGTCATTTTCCAGGGCTCTATCTTCTCCTAATTGTCTGGGACAAAGTGCAATATTGGTGGTTTTATAAGACCATTGATGCCTGTGAGAAAAGTGATGGTTGTGATAGTGGTGGGTGGCTGGGGAAACGTGGAGGACAGGGAGGTCTGAGCACCAAGGGTGGAGTCTTCAAATGTGAATTATATCATTGTGAATGTAATTAGACCTAATTGGCTCAGTAGTTTGATTTTGTGGATCATATTTATGGTGTGTAATGAAAATGCTTGACTACAAATCTAGAAAACCACTACGTATAAAATAGTACAGTGGAGTTTGTGAGATGGACAAAGAGAATATATGAGGAGTCTTCAAAAGCTTGTAAAAAAGAAGTGGAAATGTCACTATTTTGGTTCATAGTTTTCTCTTAATACATATTTTCCATGCACTTTTTGAAGACTCTTTGTATAGATAGGGGAGCCAAAAGCAGGTATATATAGGATCTTCTTTAAAATCTGGTTTGCAATTCATGTTTTTCTCCCACTTCCATTTTTAAAAGCGTTTGATATGACCCTGTGGTAGGAAACTGCTTTTGGATGTTAGAATATTCAAGCACTAACCATAAATTCATCGCAATAACAGATTTTGCACTTTGCCATCTTTAAGGGAAGGTTGCTTGGCCCAAGCTCACCATCCAGAGGCAGGAGTCCCTGGATTTCCAAACCACACTTATTAGTGGTTGACTCTCAGCCTGGGGGCTCCACATTTTGCCCTTCAGGGAATTGCTAATATCACAACCCTCATTTTACAAGTGAAGGGAATCTTAGTCCAAGACAGGGAATGTGGTGTAGACAGGAGACTGGAGTCCCAATATCTGGTTCCAATATTTGCTTGGCAGCTTTTGGTTTTATGAATTCTTCTAGCACCATGCCTGAAGTCTGTCATTGTTATTAGGATAATGATGATTAAATATAAGTCACACCCTTTAAAAGTAATGTTGCAATGGGATAATTCAGCATATCTCTTTTTCATGTTTTGGACCTTCCCTGGAAGCCCCAAGGCTGTGCTTTAAAGAGTAACAGCGCTTTATTCAAAAAGGAGCTTCTGCAGAAGACGAGGGCTACCTAAAAAGTGCTCTGGGTTTTCTGGAGCTCTGCGACAGCCTTGTGCAGTAGGAAGCCTTCAAGTCTGAGGATAATGGCATGAAACTCTGAATGGAGAGAAATCTGAAGCTTGACTAGCAGGGCAAGTGACAAAGAGAATAAATGTTTCATTACTGGGTAGCAATGCTCTTTCCATTTACATTTGACTTATATTCTTTAATGTAAATGGACAAATACACACATGGATTTATTTATCTGTATTAGTTATTAATAAGAGATTTTTTCCTAATACAATTATAGGAAGATGATGGTGACTTTTAAATTTTATTTAAAGCAGGTGGAGCAGATGTTTTAAAGAGAATGGAGGAATCTGGCTTGAATATCCAAATGTCTAGATTCAATTTTGAGATGCCTCTTGAATTCATCAGTCCATCTTTACCTTAAGAACAACCAGGTGGAATGAGGGAGACCCTGAAGCTTTCAGGAGATGTCTATCTAGGTCTTGGTTCTAGGTCTGGAAAAAAGCCCAGAAACTATAATTATAGCTTTAGGATCATTTCTTACTCCCAGTGTCTGATCTCTACTGTTGTCCCTAACAGCCGACCTCCTCTGGAAATACTACCAGAGCTGACCAGTGAGCCTCAGCTGCCGGGGCACATTTAACGAAATGGTACTGATTGTTGCCTCTGCTGCTGTCTTTTCAGGAGAAGCTGTTCACTTAGCTCGGGATTTTGGGTACATCTGTGAAACCGAATTTCCCGCCAAAGCTGTTTCTGAGTATTTGAACCGGCAGCACACAGACCCTAGCGACCTGCATTCCCGAAAGAATATGCTGTTAGCTACCAAGTGAGTGGCCCAGTCTCTCCACCTGCTCTTCTCTAAGGCCTACCCTGCTGAGGCTTCCCAGTGGAGGAGACCAAGTTGGTGGTGGTGTAGGAGCCCCCAGGGGAGGGAGGAGGATAAGCCCCTCGCTGGGTTGTCTGGAAGTGATGTTGGCAGCCTTTGGCAAACGGGCTGGGGATCTCTCCTGGCTGCGCTCCCCTCCCCGTTACCTTATCTCTGTTTTCTCTTTTCAAGTCTGTGGCGAATGGCTCTATTAATTTGAGTTCTCAATTTCCACAGTTGTGTTCTCTAACCTTCTCTTGTTTCCTTCCCTAACTGATCCGTAGGCGCCTATTTCTACCCTGATTTCGCTTCTCTCCCTGTCAAATCCGCACAGCCACGTGTGCCAGCTTAGGCTGTCTATATGTTACCCACGTGCACCCATCTCTACCCATGGCTCTAATTACTGCATTTGCAACGTTGCTGTTTGTCATCTTGCACCGACTTGTAAAATTTACTACAACTCCAGAGGGGGAAATAGTAAATCTCTAGCTAAATTTAGGTCTAGAGCTCATTTGAACTTTTACAGTGGGTTTTCTATTTATTTGATTTACTCCTGTCTTTGGCTTCGGTGTCATATTGTTGGTGTTTTATGGCCAGCTCAGGCCTGCAGTGGGCGGCGCTGCGTGCACCCGCACGGTTCTCTCTCCGGCGCGGTCCAAACAGCGGCGCTCATTTATTTAGCGCTGGAGGACGCGGTTTGTTCCGTTGACAGCGTAATTTAAAGAAATATATGGAAGGCTGAAAAATCATTTGCTCAAATTTGTCCAGATGTTTTTGAGACGTGATTGGAATTTGATTGCCCCTTTCCGCAGGGTCAAAAAATATTAATGTCCCAGAACTTTAATTGCTTACAGACCCTGGTTTGGGCTTTGAAGATTTAAAATGTTTGACTCTCTCCCAGTACAGAATTTCCTTTTTGGCACTTTGGTAATGAGTCCAAACTTAAAGAAAGACTTTAACCATCTCTTCCAATGATCAAAACCTGGCATCTCCCCTCTTACCTCTTACTGAGAGGTTTTCCTCTGCAGTACGAGCAGGCTGGAGACCTTGGTCAGTTGGCTGTGTGCTACCACTAGCTCAGGTGTCCTGAGAGGGGGGACCTGCGGTGCCTCAAGAAAGATAAAATGTGTTTTAGAGGGCTTTAAAAAAATTCCTCTTAAAAGTGTGTAAATCAGATTACAATTGCACCAAAGAGTCCTACCACTTCCCAACGGGAGGCTTAAACCTGGTCTTGTGGCCCTTATGGCTTTTCTTAGACCGGTATTTGTTAATGTGGGTTATCAGAATCACCTGGAAAGCTTTTTCCACCTATTTGCCTAAGAACCTGTTCTTTAGTCCCCTGCAATGGCACCACTGGGGGTCCAGCCTTGAGTGTGTATCTTTGAATCCCACCACTGACTCTGAGGCACCTCAGGTTTGAGAAGTGTCTTCCTTAGGGCAGAGCAACTGCCTGCTTCCTTCACGTCGTGGGTACCCATGCACATTTTGAAGGTAGAAACCACGTGTTAGAAAGAGGTAGGTACCTGCTGGTGTGCTTGATTCCCTACCCTTAGGATCAACAACTTCTCAGCAGCTGCAAGAGACTGGGAGATGTGTTCTCCGGTTGATTTAACCACAATCCTGCAGCAAAGTGGGAGCACCTCAGAGGAGCACACTCTGGGGGTCCGCTAAGTCAGTCAGATCACCAGCCTCTATTGTCTTGTTGGCCAGGCCAGGTGTTGTCAGGTGCAGTGGTGAGTCATTCCATCAGGGATCTGGAACTGCAGTGCCATCCATAGGTCTGCTTTTCTCAAAATCCCATAAACCCACAGGCTAGAGGCAAGCAGGGAGGCAGGCTGAGTCTGCCAATCTGAGAGAGGCTATGGCGTTTGAGAGGCTTTGCCTCCCTGCCTGCTAGCAGAGCCAAGTCATTTGACCTTCAGGGCGCAAAAGCTCCCATCTCTCTCCTATATTAAAAATGTCTCAAATAAGCTCAATCTGTAGTTAAGTACGCAGGATTTCTAAGGCTGGGAGACTCCTCTGAATTGTAAGTGCCTTGAGGAAATAAAAACCTTCAACAAATAAAACCTATCCTCCCTGGTGTCTTAACAGTCCACCTTTAGGTTTTATTTAAACTATGTGGGAATCCTTTTATATTGGCAACAATCCTGTTACACAAAGATGTATAGTAGCCTAGCCTTTACAAAAAAAGAAGGAAAAAAAAAAAAAAACCCTCTCCCTTCCCAAATACTGTAGGTAAACAGGTTTTTGCTTGGAATGGAATCAGCGTTCTCTCCTAGAATAAACAATTTGTTGCCCTGGGCCATGCAAGGCTCAAGCAATCTGCTTCAGTGCGACGGACAGGCTTGTGGCCAGAGGCCTAAATCTTTCAGGGCTTTCTGAACCTGATCAGCAAGAGGTTAGAGAGGTGGGAGGGGTGGAGGTGGGGGCAGTGGCTCCAAAGAAATACCTGGTAGGAGCCCACAATTATGGAATCTTCACAGTTAGACGGCAATGCCCAGTGAATTTTTTACAGAGGACGGTCTATGCAGTCCTGGATCGGAGATGGAAAGACTGGAGAGGGATTAAAAGGCAAGGGCTGAAGGGGTGCGTTACTTCCCCACCCCCCGCCTTGCTTCCAAGGCCCAGCTGCTCGGAAAGGGAGAGCGCTGGGAAAGGAAACAGAGCGGAATCGCCCGCATTAGCCTCGCTCTTCGGTAACCCGGCGCCTCTGGGCTTGTGAGACATCTCCTTTCTAATGCCAATGACAACGACACTGAGGGTGATTTTTTTTTTTTCTTTTTCCTCCCTCCACCCCGCTTTACAGGCAACTTTGTAAAGAATTTACAGATCTTCTGGCGCAGGACAGGACACCGATCGGGAACAGCCGGCCCAGTCCCATCCTGGAGCCGGGGATTCAGAGTTGCCTCACTCACTTCAGCCTCATCACGCACGGCTTCGGCGCCCCGGCCATTTGCGCCGCGCTCACGGCCCTGCAGAACTATCTCACCGAGGCGCTCAAAGGCATGGACAAGATGTTCTTGAACAACACCACCACTAACAGGCACACGTCTGGGGAAGGCCCAGGTAGTAAAACTGGAGACAAGGAGGAGAAACACAGGAAATGAAAAAAATAATAATTTTTTTAAAGAAGGAAAAAATGTTTTAAATACAAAAGGAAAACAAAAAAATTAATTTTAGCTTTAAATATTGGATTGGCTTTGGAAGAATTATATTAGGTAGAATACACATACAATCAAAAATTTAAAAAGGAAGCTAAATAACTTAAAAAAAAAAACTGAGGCATACAACGGAGCAACAATATCTGTTCTCAGTGTCTGTTTCAAGATTCTCTTGGAGACAACCGTCCGGATTTTTCACTTCGGTTCTTTCGAGTTTAGTATTCTGATAATAAAAGAAAACCATGGTCCCCCTCCCCAACCCTCCCTTTTGGAAAATAAACATAAGACTAAATATGAGAAAACGCTAACTTATTGCAAGAAAATCAGAGGAACGTTGGTGTCACTGCTTTGAGAGCTGGTTGACTGAAGGCGCACGAACTTTTCCTTTTTTTTTTTTTTTTACTTTTTTTTTTTAAAGGAAACTCTCGCTGTCCCCGCCCTCCATCTCACCTCACCACTTTCCCAGCCACCCTGGTCTGCGATGCCTTCCCTTCCTCACATGGTTTCGGGAATTTTCCGGGATGTAAATGAGTGTGGTTGGCCCTTTGGCGTTGTTTAAAGCCTCTCTAAGGCCCCTCCTCTCTCCCTCCCCACCCAGCCCTGCATCCCTAATGCCCCACCCTGCAGCCTCCGGGTGCTCAGCTTCCAGGCCCTACGGGTAATTAGGGTCGGCGAGGGAGGGCTGGGCGGGAACTGGCGGAGCTGCCGGACCAGCAGAGAGGCTCCCGCGGCAGAGGAAAATCTGGACCATTAAGTTAAGACTCATCATCAGTTCTTTTCAGAAATGTTACCAGTTCCCAGCCTGGCCAGCATCTGCATACTGAGAATCTTACATTTGTTATAATATCTGTGCCATCTACCAGTTTTGAGAACTGTAGTAAACACACACATATTATGAATACGTTGATTAGTATTGTAATTTCTTCAGAGGGGTATGTACTATTTCATTCTCTTCTGTTTTCCAAAGCTTTGCCAGCATGGTTTATGAGCTTCTTCAAAGAGGACTTGGGCTTCCTACACAATCTATAAGGTACAGAGAAAAAAAAAAATCCGATCCCTTTTTCATCAAAGCCTGTGTGTCAGAATTCTGCAGGTGCACTTCTTTAAAGAAGCTCAAAGGGAATAATTTAGAAAGTGGCCAATATGATGGAAGCAGCTTTGAATCTACTTGCTAACATACCTCAACGCCGCAATTCCAGCAGGGGTGGGAGGTGGTAAAATGAATTTTAAGGGAAAAGAATAAGGGTTTTTGGAACCCCATATAGCCCAACAGTAGCACCCTGCATGTAAAATGGGCTCTTTAGTGACTGCTGATTCAAGGTGGACAGCAGCAGCTCTCCAAGTACAGCTGAGAAGGGTGGCAGAGGCTCTCTTGCCACAATGGCTTCCTCCCAAGATGCTTTGTGATGAGGCATGTTCCCCTTCTAGCTATGCATTTGCATTGAGTAGGGAAGTAATACGTAGGGGAAACACATGTATTTCACCTTTGGATTTTATTCTCTGGGTACAAGAGAACTGCTCCCAAATAGTTTCATACATTTGGTGTCTGTCACTCTTGAAGGCCCAGCTACATTCTTGGGCTCCACCTTGGTGACTACCGTGCAGTAAGACCTGGAATCTTGTGTCCCCGCATTTCCCCAGAGTAGCCACAACTCTCCCCAAGAGAGAAGTGGAAGAGCTAGGTCTCTAAGTTGACTGTACCCTGGCAACTTTTGGAAACAAACTGGATACGACTTTGGCAACATTTTTCTATAAAGATGCAGATTTCTTTTTTCTGCAGGATTTACATTAGGACTTAATTGTCATGACCTCACCCCTCCCCCCGCTTCTGTTTTGGTGGCTTTGCAGTGAGGAGGGTTACTTGAGCTTTTAGAAACCTGCTGAAATATTTTCCCAGACTTTTTTTTTTTAATCAGGTAAGGAGAGGAAGTTAAGGAAGTGATATTAGGTCATTTGAAAGTCCAAGCTGTAGTTGAGGTTACATCTTGACCCTTCTGCTAGTCCCAACTAGCGCATGAGAGGATTACAGAGGAAAAGCAGATCTTAAGAAGCGTGTAGGGGTCCCATCTCTCCCTGGCACATCGCCCTGAGCCTCCGTCTGAGGGCCTGGCCGCTTGTATTAGCAAATTGTAATCTGATTGCCCAGGCCGGGAGAAACCAAACTGAAAACCGTCGTCTCCTTTCCTTGCAGGGCAACGCGCCCCACGCGTGTGACGGTGCGAGAGACGCGATGGACGCGCCTTGCTCTCACTGTGCAGGTCCTGAGACCCTGTGGGCCACTCGCGCCCAGTCGTGTTGAGGACATAAAATCAGCCGCTGGAGGGGCCGCCGGCCGCGCAGGCCCTTCCTGCTCTCGGTCTCACCCTAAGGGCTAAGGCGACCGAGAAAGCCCCATTCTCCAGTAGGTAAATGGGGTGGCATCCACTCGGGCTGCAGACGGGGAGGGATCCAAGCGCTGAGTAGGTCTACAGTTGCCAGCCACCACTCTGGGCGCTCTCTCCCAGAAGGAAAGCGGCCTAGAAATACCCCAACAATCAAAGCCCCCCCTCCTCCCCATCCCAAGACCGCTGGACGGAAACTCTCCCCGCCTTTGCGTTCCTAAAGGGGGAGATGGATGGGAATGACCGTAATTGGCTCTGCAGGTTCTCTTCTGGGCCCTACGACCTCAGCCGTGCGTTCCTCCCTTGCCCCTTCCAGCCAGAGAGAGCCCCCGGGTGCACCTCCTCCGTCCACCCCACCACCATCCGTGTCGAGCAGCCCACTGCCCTCAAGCTTCTCTTACCGCCTCTCTGCAGGACACTAGCCGCCCCCTCCCCCGCTCCCTTGCTTTCATTTTCATTAACCAGACCCGCTATGTCTGATAATTGAGTTATTAAAAGATTTGGTTTCCTTGGGCCTATAAATCAATAAACAGTAGGATTAACCTAAGAGTTTACCTTTTAAGTCAAGGGAAACGTTGAAGGCAATCCCCTTTGAGCTTTGTTTTCAAACCAAACAGGTGAATTGCAACTCTTCCCCACCCCTTGCACTCTTGCGACATTTTATCCTGGCTCACAAGCTGCCTCCTCAACGCTCTGTCCTAAACCGAAACAGCTAAAGATAGAAAGCAGGAGGCAGGATGTGGCCGCTGCTGTCCTCGCGCTCTGTTGCTGCTCAAGTTTCCTTGGAGGTTCTAAACATCTCCAGGCCTTGCTCTGCCCAGCTCTGCCTTCTGGCACCGGTGCTGTGGGCCTCAGGGCAGCAGGAAAGTGCTGTTCTGGGTGAGGATTCTGATCTTTACCTTCTTCCCCAGCGGGGAAGGCAACTTTCCCTTCTTACCCCCAAATATTTTGCATTTTCTCGTTTCTGGCCTCTGCATCCTTAACTCTCTCCGCCCCCACGTGAAGAGCCTACAAGGCATCCAAAGACCTAATTTTTACTTTCTTTGGCCAAAGAAAACTACTTTATCTCCAGCAATTATTATGTGTCCTATGAAAACTTTGGTCGAACGGAAAACTCCAAACCCCCACCTTATCTACACACTGTTCCTCGGGTACAATGCGTTCCTAGTTATGAATGTTTATAGAGAATGCGTCATCACATCTGATATCCTGTACTTGTGATACATTATACGGAAGGGAAAGAATAACCTTAAACCTTCTTTTGCCTCAAGAGCCCAAATAGAGTTCCCCCTCCCTTGCCGATGTGTATTTCATTGTTGGAGTTTTTTTTTTTTTAAGAAATACTAAAATTCGTTTCCTTTACCAAAAATAGAATGAATCGGATTCTTTTTTTTATGCCCAAATAAACTCCTGTTTTGAGTTAGCCTCTAAGTCATAAGCATTGTTTTTGCCACACAATTGAGAAATATCAATCTATTGGCTCTTCATAAGAAGAGCTCTGGAGGGTATCCGTGTTCAGTTTGTATATATTTATTTATGCTTAATTTAACGGGATTGTGTAAATATGGCGAGCAAGTAGTTTGGGATTATTTATCTGTGAATCTATACCTTTGTGAATGGGTGGTTTAAAAAACCCCTTGACTCTAGGTAGAATCCTATCTGAACTTTTCTGTTCTTTATAGACAAGCTGTTATGATAATGGGTAGAAATTGGTTTAATTGTCCAGTGTTGATCTGATTTACATAAATAAAGAGATTGTTGTGTTTTTGTTGTTTTCATCTTCAATTCCTTGAATATGGATTCTGCAGAGAGAAAATTATAACAAGAAACTTCTTTCCCTTTTTGTTTCCCCTCTCTGAGATAATGCAGAATTTTTCCTTAAAACGGCCATGACAGTTTTGCTTCTTAAGAAAAATGAACACTTTTATTATCACTAGGAATTATTTTCTATTTCTTCAAGCTCCCAAATGACACTTTCCTCCTTTTTCTAAACAAATTTGCAATAAAAGCTCATGTTCTCTGCATCTTTTGGTGTATTTGGCCCTTTGCAAACCAGTGATAGAATTTATTACTCAGGTAACTGAAGAACTTTGAGGCCAAGTCACAGATAACACTACCTGGCCACTGCAAATGGGGCCTCATTCTGATGCAGGGTTCCTAGAAAGAAAAGGAGTGAAATGTGCAGGTCTAGGGGTAGACCTCTGTATCCCAGGTCTTGGAAGCAGGAGAAGTAACTGACAATTGCAGAACTGAATCCTACATGAACAAAAGGGGAGAACACTCCCTTGGTCAGGAAAAAGAAAGAGGTGGACATGACTTAGGAATCTGTCTCTTTAACTTCGGAGACATCTCAGAGAAGCCAGCCTTTCTCCCTTGGGTTAATGGGCTGTGGCCGAGCTGTTATGGGCTGCAAGGATCAAACACCGTCTCAATCTGTATTCTGTGCTAAGACTTGGGTGTCTTCCCTGAGGTCAGGAAAGGAAAGTTATCCAAGATGTCATACAATTTGATGAGTCACTATTTCTTTTGGGGCCCTAAGGTCTATCTGGATAATGTGGACCTCCTAAGATCTTTCCCTTCTCAGTCTTGCTGAATTCAATTCGAAAGCACACACACACACACACACACACACACACACACACACTCCAGCAATAGCATCTTGCATATGTATTTTAGGGGAATCAGAAATGTTAAACCTTGTTGACCTTGTAGCAATTTTTTTTTTTGCTTTTTAGGTCAATCTTTTTCGGTTGGACTTTCCTATAGGGATAAGGCAGGAAGGACAATAGAGTCTGTTTTACTTGAGATGAGCCTTCCTGCCTTTGTCTCGCCTGTTTAATAAAATTGGGGTATCACAGCTAGATCTATAAACGATGGAACCAAAGAAAGCAAACAAACAAACAAAAGTAAGGGAA